AATCAAAGAGAGTCAGCATGAATTTGTAAAGGGTAGGTCATGTCTGACAAATTTATTGAATTTTTTGAGGAAGTACTAACATGGTGGCTATGGATGTTGTCTACATGGACTTCCAGAAAGCATTTGATAAGGTTCCGCCCAAGAGGTTATTAGCAAAAAAAGCACATGAAGGTAACCTTGCGACTTGGCTTGGTAATTAATTGGGAGGCAAGAAATCATAGAATCATAGAATTATACAGCACAGAAGGAGCCCATTCGGCCCATCGTGTCTGTGGCAGCTCTTTGAAAAGAGCTATCCAAATCAATCCCACTCCACCGCTCTCTCCCCATAGCCCTGCAAACTTGTCCTCCCCAAATAATTATCTACTTCTCTTAAAAATTGTTATTGAATCGGCTTCCACCCACCCTTTCAGGCAATGCATTCCAGATCCAAACAACTCGCTGTGTGACAAAATTTCTCCTCACCTCCCCTCTGTTTCTTTTAACAACTATTTCAAATCGGTGTCCTTGGGTTACTGGCCCACCCACCAGTGGAAATCATTTCTCCCTTGTTCACCCTATTGAATCCCCTCATAATTTTGAAAACTTCTATTAAGTCTCCTCTTAACTTTCTTTGCTCCAAGGAGAATAATCCCAGCTTCTTTAACCTCTCCTGATAACTGAAGTAATGGAGAGTAGGGAAAGGGGAAACATTCTCTGATTGGCGGGACGTGACAAGTGGTGTTCCTACTGGGGCCTCAGCTTTTCACCACATACATATTATAATATATACAATATATATATATATAAAAATTGCTTGGGTGAAGGAATAGAGTTTTATATCCAAATTTGCAGATGACACAAAGTTAGGAGGCACAGTCAATTCTGTAGATGGGAGCAGGAAGTTACAAAGGGAACTAGATAGATTAAGTGAGTGGGCAAAACTGTGGCAGATGGAATTCAATGTGGGGAAGTGTCATGGATGCAAAAATAACAAAACAGAATATTTTCTAAATGGGGTGAAACTACACTGCTTTGATGAAGGTGCCATCCTTCAAATGAGATGTTAAACTGAGGTTGCATCTGTCTGTCCAAGTGGATATTAAAGATCACATAACACTATTCAAAAAGAATAAGAGAGTTTCTCCCGGGTTCCTGGCCAACAATCCCCCAGATAAAAATCAGTCATTCAAGCAATGGCTGTTGGTGGGGAAATTGCTGTGTGCAAATTGGCTGCAGAGTTTGCCTACAAATGCAGTCACAGCACTTCAGAGGAAAATCCTATGAAGTGCTTTGAAACCACATAAGATGCTAAGTCAAATACAAGGATTATTATTACAAAGAAACTCTCATAAATAGCCCTTAGGATAAGTCGTCAATCCCACATAACTCATCACTCACTCAATATCCTGCCTACTCGAGTACTTTGCACTTACGAGCTACTCTACTTTGGATAAGTAACCAAGTCTGATAAGTAGTCATTTGAGCTATTTCCCTTGGGGTAACGAGTTATCAGGGTATCACTGTATTTAAGAAAACTGCCACTGAGAAAACAACTTCTCAGTCCTTGAGATTCATTCATCTGTAGTGTTTAATATTCAGTCTATGTTGTTGCACTTTGATCTTGTTGTACATTTCTCTTACACACACACAGATCCTGCAGCAAAAAGGAATTTGTCACATGCCTCCTAATTTGAACTATGTGTAATTTCTTTCACTTTTATCAAGCAACTTGGTTAATAATTGACCAGGATCTTGGAGCTGGGCTGTAACAGCAATTACCAAAGTTTAGATGCAAATTTCACTATATCTGTCACAAGCACTCAGGTACTGTCAGATCAACAGGAACTAACTTCAAATATTCAAAATGTATTTTTTGTTTTATTTGAAGGAAGTGCCTTTAATGCTGAGTAATAACTAATTTGCATTCAGTAATTGCACTTTGAAGATAGGTGAAGTGCATTACCTATCATCAAAGTTGTTCAAAAATGTTGCCATTTTAAGTCACTGTTTATGACTGGGTTGTTCGAAACAAAGATTTACAAAGAATGTACATCATGGAACAAGGTCAGTGGTACAATCTGTCCATGCTGGTGTTTATCTGCAGACAAGTCTTCACGTAATGCTAGTTTTTACTAGCCAGTTGTAAATCTTCTGAATTGCACTTAAGATCTAGGGCTATAACTCTGTTGGAATAAATAGATTTTCATTGTCATACATGCTCTGATTCCAAGTGAAAAAATTGTAGCTATAGTTCAACCCTACCTCTAATATAATGCTGCCTTTAATCCAAGCGAAAATCAGCATGAATTGTAATAAAATTGGCACTGTGAACCCTGTCACTTGAAAACTTTAAGAAGCTGGCAATAAGAACTCACTTTGACTATAGATTTCATGATACTGTCATTCTTGAATCCAAACTATGTCCTATGTTTGGAGATACAAATATTAGCATTTGGTAGATCTGAATATCAGACATAACCAGTTCTTCAATAGCCTGAGGCTGCTGGTAGCTGGAATCCATTCTTTTGCATTTGAGGAAGAATGTAATGCACTGGCAGCAACATGGAAACCCATTCTCATCACAAGGTTACAAAGTCTTGGCCAACAGTTTTTCCGCCCTAGCTGCATCCACTCCCCTACATTGGACAAGCTGGCAATGCCTACCCCTTGTTTAGAAAAAACTGGGTATAATATGGAGGCAACACTATCTCATTTACATCGCACTTCTGCCATCCAAGACAAGGCTAGTTTTGGTGGCTGCCAAAGGGAACAACAACAAAATTACATTTGTAAAGCGCCTTTCATGTCGGGAGGATGTTCCAAGGCGCTGGACAGACAGAGTTACACATCCGAGCTGGGGGTCGGGGTGGGGGAGGTTGGAGAGCAGAGAGATCGAAAGCGCAGTCAAAGAGGAGGGTCTTGAGATGGGTCTTGAAGGTGGCAAGGGAAGGGGCGAGATGGAGGGACTGCAGGATGGAATTCCAGAGGATGCGGACAGAGTGGCGGAAGGCCCACCTGCCAATAGTGGGGCGAGCGAGGCGGGGCATGGAGCAGGCCAGAGCCCGCTGAGCGGAGGGAGTGAACAGGATGGTAGACATACACACCTTTCTTCGATCAAAAATAATCCTTGTATTTCAATGCGTCTAATCCCATTGATGAAACATCTCAACGTGCTTCACAGGATTTACCTCAAAGTATCTACAGGACACTACTGTGGAGTCCTGTAGCTCAGTGGTTAGAGCATTCGCCTCACAACAACAAAAATACATTTGTAAAGTGCCTTTTACGTCGGGAGAACATCCCAAGGCACCAGTCAGATCAGGACCCGAGCATGCGGATGAGGGAGGGCAGAGGGAGTAGGAGGGTGGCTGAAGGCACGGTCAAAAAGGAGGTTCTTGAGTCGTGCCTTGTCTGGAGTCCTGTAGCTCAGTGGTTAGAGCACTCGCTTTGCAAGTGAGAGACCTGAGTTCAATTCCAGGCACAGGGCGAAACCTTGGGCAAGTTTCCTTACTCCACACAGAGCCTAATAATAATCCCTCCAAAAAACCAAAAACAATAATTAAATTGGTCATTTTCAATCTACGACTGTTTGTGGGACATTGCTGTGCGCAATTGGCTGCCGCGTTCGCCCACAAATATACAGTCAATTCACTTTACAGTGTGTTCTGTGAAGCGCTTTGGGACGTCCTCCCGACATGAAAAGTGCTATATCAAATGCAAGGATTATTATTATTATTATTATTATTAGAGAGGGAGCAAGACAAAGGGATTGTGGGATGGAGTTTCAGAGTGTGGAGGCAGAGAGACTGAAAGCCCAGCCACCGATGGTAGGGTGGGTCGGGCGGGAGACCTGGAGCAGGCTGGAGCCTGCTGAGCAGAGGGAGCGGGCAGGTTGATAGGGGGTCAGAGATGTAGGAGGGAGCGAGGTCGTAGAGGGCCTTGAAAGTGAGGACAAGGATTTTTAATTCTATCTTCTGAGGGATGGGGAGCCAGTGGAGCCTGGTGATGGTGGGGGTGATGGGGTCAGAGAGTCTGTGCGAGAGAGGACACAAGCTGCAGTGTTCTGGATGATCTGCAGCTTGTGGAGGAAAACGTGGGGAGGCCGACAAGGAGAGAGTTACGGGAAGGAGGATAGGTGAGTTGAGGGAGGGCAAGTAAGATACCTGAGTTTGATTCCTGGCAGGTCAAAATGTTGGGCAAGTTTCCTTATACCACATGCCTATGTTTACCTAGCAGTAAGTAGGAACCCGGTTGTTAGTCAATTGGTGGATATCCACGACTGTTTTGTGGGACACTGCTGTGTGCAATTGGCTGCTGAGTTTTGCCCACAAATATATAATCAATTTTCTTTACAGTATATTTTGTGAAAAGTTTTGAGACATCTAGAAGACGTGAAAAGTGCTATATCAAATGCAAGGATTATTATTGCTATGTATTTTGTAGGTGAACGTGGTGGCCAATTTTACACAGCAACAATCCACAGACAACCGTGAAGTGAATGACCAATTTGAGGAATTGTTGGCCAAGGCAACAGGAGAAACTCCTTTCTCTTTTCAAGTAGTGCCACCAGATATTTAGTTTGCACGTGAACAGACAGTTGGGACATCTCGTCCAAAGGAGGGTACGTCTAACAATACTGCCCAACCCCAGGGCTGCAGTCAGTCTAGACTAGGACTGGGGATTGAACCCACATCCTTCTGACCCAGAGGTGAGTGAGCCAGGCTGACGCATTTACAGTTCTCCATTTAACTGAGGATATGCCAGAAGCTGATTTTACATAGCTCTTCCTGCCAACCAGACCATCACTTTTAAAATTTCCTTTCGCAATTTAAAGAGCTTGCGGTTATAACTCAACGCAAAGGTGTATGGAACTTTAATGACTGCTGTATCCACGTTGAGAACAAAGAAGCTTGATCTGACAGTGACTTAAAATGTAAATACTTAACTTCTTAACCGGATCCGCCTCTTTGGCTGCTTTGCAAAATGCCACGTCGTCATAGTCTCCACCCTCTTATTTGTTGCCTGAACTTAAAGCTTCATTTGTAAAGATCAGGTACTGGAAGAAGTACGGGAGTGAAAAGTAATGGTACTGCAGGGCTGAGGAATAACTTGCTGAAAAGAACAAGAGGTAACCCTTATTATTATACAGTGTAATTTAGTTTAGCACTGAAGATGATAAGTGTTAAGATGAAATGTTAAAACTAACACATGTGTTTATATTTCCTTATTATTGGCTGCTACTTCCTGGTTTGTCATTAAGCCTGACCCAAGTGCTGTATAGGGAGGGATATGGTTTCCTCCAGTAAGCTGCTTGCTTTACTTGGTGTAGTTTTGTAGCTTTTATTTTGGGGCTAATAAGTTTCTGTTTGAAAATGCCTTTAGCCATCTTATTGTATTCGTTTGCAAAACATTACTGGATATATGGGAACTGTTATCAAATTGCTTGGCATTCACATGAGCATTGTAAATTACATCAGCAAGATATCAAATTGTGTCAGGTGTCCATTGTTCTCTATTTTATTGGATCAAAAGCAACTGAATGTTGGAGTTGAGTCAATCCTCTGTGGTGGTTTTGATAGTCTGTTTCCTGAGCCAGGTGGGTCTGCAGTATTCCACTGCATTGCTAATGAAAGACCAGCCGTCTTGGCTCGTTGGTTGGACTTGGAGAGATAGACCGGCCATGTGGGTTTAGATACCCTTAAGCATGGTGATGGCTTTATGTTCTTTCAGACACCCAGCTGACCAAAAAAAATGATTATACGATTTGCCTCTGCACCGCTGAGCTAATGAACTGGTGAAATCAGCAAGTGTTCTTGCTCATGATTGCTGAACCAGTTTCTCTGCCTTGAAAAGGGAGGTGGCAGAGTATGTCAGGTGAGAACAATGCTGAGCTTGATTGTATCGTATTGGATGGTTGAATAATCAGTTCACTAGCAATGCCTGCAGGATAATTGATGTCAGGTGCAGTGATTATATTTTTAGGCAAATGTAGCAGCCATATTGCTCACAGTAAAGTCCCACAAATGAGGCAAGGACCCATGTTTCCATCTGTTTCCATCTGGAGGATTGTTGGCTAGGATAATAAGAGAAACTCCCTTCTCTTCAAATAGTGTCAGTGGATCTTTATCGCCAAAGTGAAATCGGAGTCAGGATGTTGGTTTAATATCTCATCTGAAGCCAGTGTTCCGCAGCACTGCCCTGGATCATCAGTTTACACTATGAGCTGAAGTCACTACATGGGCCTTGAACCCCCAATCTTCCGGCCTAGGGGCAACTGAATAAAACAAGAACCACCAGGGAAGAAATAGCTATCAAACAGTAGCTATTAAGGCGAACTGCTGACTGAAACGTGCCCTGTGTTGTCATAAGTATTACTGTCATACATTTGTATGTGACCCTCAGGAGAGAACCAGACTCTCTGAGACTCAACTTTCAGGCAAAGGCTGAGGATAATGTTTACATCCCATAGGTGTGTCATTCATTTTATTGTGGGGTGGTGAGAGAGGAGCTATGCTCTGCTTTGGGTGGGACGTGGGAAGTTGACATTGGCAGCATTATGCGAACCTGTGTTATGAGAATTTGGTGGAATTAAGGAACAGGGCCTCACTCCAGTGAGTAAACTAAGCAAGCATAGGGTTGGGTATGCAGGGTTCTGATTCTTAATGTACTGTATTTATGACTTTCCAGAAAGCAGTTCAGAATGGTTGTTGTTGTTGCTCTTGGTTTTGTTTCTAAGGCCCATTCAAACTTTCTATGGTGTCAGAACACCTTCATTTTGTGAATGAACTATTGAACAGAATAAAGCTGGTGACTCAGAGCACAAAGTAATTTCGTTTTGGCATTTGTTTTCAGGCAGTTGAGATGTCTGTTGAAACAAGGAACGTCTTGTGACATAGACGGATATGTGTTTCTTTTTGCGCTGTTTACCTATATCTGAGCAAACGTAAAAAAGACAGGTGGCATATTGCAAAGCTTCTTCTGGTACTCATAATTGGCGGTATGAATATGTGTTCTCACTTAACTGCTCTCTGGTCTTGCCCCCTGCCTTCTTCCCCATTGTTTCCACTCTTATTTTTATCATTTGCACTACTTGTTCTAAACATTATATCACATTGTCACTTTTTTGTAGGGTATTTATTCCTTTTTACGTTTCTAAAGATTTACGTAACTTTTGTTTACAGAGCTATTTCTGTGCCTCTAGAGACTCGCTATTCTGGCCGGTTTTGTGCTCTAGCTTATCAGTCTCTCTATCTAGTTTGCATACCCTTAAGCATGGTGATGGGCTTCTACATGGGTCAGACACCCAGCTAACCAAAAAAACACATGCCCATGTTAATTACCTCCATGCGCAACCTTCCCACTCAGTTTCTGGGACCATCTATGTAAAGCAGTTTGAGATATTACGATAGGCACTATACAAATGCATATTTTTCTTCTTGCTCTAAAGACCATCATTTGATGAGTTATTTTGTTTGCTGACATGCTAGTACAACTGAGCCACAACAAATGTGTTCAGTGGCTGTGCTCCTGTGAAAGAGACATTGAGGTCAAACACGTGGCAGTTGCTTACCTGAACAAACCATTTCATTGTATGCTTTGAAGCACAGCACAGAACATTCACTCTTAATTGTGACAATCTGTGTTAGATCGTTTTGTAACTACTGTGGAGCGTATTCAGCTAGGTTCAGTTTCTGTACTGTGCTGATTCATGTTAATGTCAGGTCCCCGACAGTCTGAATGATGCAATGCTGATTTAATAGTAATAATCCTTGCATTTGATATAGCACCAAATCACGTTATCGAGAGGTCTCAAAGCACTTCACAGGAGATTGACTGTAAAGTAGATTGACTGTATTTGTAGGTGAAACACAGCAGCCAATTGCACACAGTAATATCCCACAAACAGCCATGGATTGAGGGACCGTCTTTTATTTGGGAGATTGTTGGCCAGGACACTAGGAGAAATCACCTTCTCTTTTCGAATAGTGCCATGGGATCTTTAACATCCACGTGAACCAGCTGACAGGATCTTGGTTTAATATTGGATGAGACAATTTGATTGTTCAATGCAATTTTTATTTTAAAAAAAGCTGAAATTAGTGCTGTTTCATAACAATTTCATATGCTAATCATCCCACTGAATGTATATTGAAAAACTGTTAATTTTCCCCCTAGGTTTTCACACCATCACAACCCAATGACACAGATGATATTATTATCACCCACCTTTTTGGTAACATGTTCCAGGTGGATACTGTTTCCCACAGTGCCTGAGGTAGATTCAAATGATATGAAATACTTGTGACACATTCAAAAAAAAAAGACATTTGTATATTTGAGATAGCTGCTTTGAAAGTTACTTTCATGGGTGAGGCACACTCGGTCCCAGAAGAGTGTTGAATTCCAATTTGATATTCCTGGCATTTTCGTGAAAGGTGTTAAATTTGAAAGAGAATGCACTCCACCTCTTGGAAGTAATGTGAGAGCACCACAGCTTAAGTGTAATCTAGCACGCTTGCCGGAGAATCAAATGGCAAATGAGACTTTCAAATTCAACCTCTATAAAACATAGAAACACACACATAAGAATGTGCGTGAGTGCGCACGAGATGGTATCTTGAGTTTAACTACAATGGGTGGCTATTTTCTATGGGTAATAGAGTTCAGTATTTTAGTTCAGCTCCACCTGCTCTTGCCCATGCAACAAGATTCTAAAATCCTAATTTTTGGAGGAACTAATTGCTGTATGTTCTATAGACCATGATAGTCATTGATGCTCGAAGAGAGGGTGGGGGGGGAGGTGGAAGAAGCTTCATCTCACTTTCACTGCAAATTGAACATAATGACAAAAATATCATTCATCAACCTGGTTTCTCCATTTCAGGATTATGCAATTTCTGACTGAAGATTCAGTCATCCAGTGTGCATTTCAAACAAATTCCTCTGCTTAAGTTGCTAATGGTTGTCGTCTTCATCCAGTTTAGTGCTTGAACTGAAGCATGAGCCCAGCAACAAAAATTGTACTGGTTTATGAACATCACACTGTAAAATCCTATACCTAGGAAACAGAGTTTACGAATGCACTAGTTCAATCTCAAATCAGCTTCATTTTTGCTGGTTCTCAGACACATTGGCAGGGGGAACACCTGCAATCTTCACCCTCCTAACCCCCCTCACCATCCCCCAGGTAGGTTTGAAATGTGAAGCTAAACAAGTTCTCGGTAGTTACACCCTTCTAGAGAATTTGCTGTCTTGTGATTGAAATTCCGTTCTCAAATCCGGCCCTGCTGACCACTCTGTAATGGTATTTGTTGGTGGCATATTCATCAGTGGCCTCAGTGTTCCACATAAGTATGGAATGTGTGAGAAAAGTCTGGGAGCAAATTCGATTATTTGTAGTTTCAAAGAGTATAAGCAATTAATGCCCAGCTTATCACACAGGCAGCCATGAGATATACAGGCAACAATAGCCCATTATACTTGCTTTACACCTGCCATTCTGCAGAGATGGAGCTCAGTGGTGACTGAGAAGTATTGTAACTATCACTAGACTGGTGATATTTTTCATTAGTGTTTCATTTTTCTTCTTGCACGTTATAGGAACATTAGAACATGCGAGACAGGAAAAGACCATTACAATCTGCCTGGCTGTCCTGATTTCACAGTACTATCCAATCCTTCATGCTTAAGAATACCCAAACCAGACTAACAGTTCCAGGCATCCCACCTGTACATGAAATAGATATTTATGGGAATGGAATCCACTCTCTCCCTGAAGGGACACATCCTGTTTACTAATTCTGGAGAGTATAAGGTGCGGGTTGGAAAGAGCCAAGGCTTGGAGACCCCAGAGTGTGAATTGTTTTTTTTTCTAGAGTCTAATCAGCTAAAACTGCTTAGCCAGCCAGGACCATCCTATCTGTTAGGGCGTTAGCTTAAAAGGTCAACAGTTGCTGAATGGAAAGAATCCTGCCCCGGTGACTGGTCTGCCTTTCCAGGTCCTACCGATGAGCCAGCATAGCTGTGCCATCAGCTGGGCCCTGGAGTATCAATGCTGGGACCAAGAGTATTAATTCTATTAGGGTATGATTGATTGCAGGATCACTTGTTAAACTGTTTCCCTGCATTGTTTTTGAGATTTTTGATCCAAGAATAGATTACTGTACTCATTTTTCTTTTGCCAGACGATTTGATCATAGAAACAACTTTCAAGTCTTATTTGGAAGCTGAATAGTGTTCATGTGAAAGTTAACCTGTGTTTCTTTTTAAGCCAGTAAAAGAGTTCAAAGGGTTAATTTCCTGAATTGTTTTTAACAAATAGTTAATTTGTTTTCTCTCTTTCTGCTTATTCATGGTGCTGGATTACTCCCACATAATCTCTTCCAGTTGGAGACTAACCGCTTTGAAATCAATTCCTTTTCTGGTGTCACTATGGTCGCATCTATTGCCATTGTCACCTTACAGTCATTTTCATTGCTACTATCGCTCTAAGTCAGTCTTTTTCCATTGCCGCCCTGTGATCAACCTATTGCAGAAGAACTCAGGACAATGTGAAATTGATTTGTTTCCCAAGCCATTGAAGGATAGAAGTAACATTTCTACACCAACATTCCTAAGTATGGCAAGATTACAATGCTATATTTCTGTAAATTTCTTTATTATTCTTTATAAGGTTATCATTAAAAATCAACAGAATACAATGTCTGGTAATGCTGCATGATTAAAATATTGCAAGTATTTTGGAATATTTTAATCACCTTTAATCATTCCCAAAATTATGAAGGGTATTGATAGGGAGAAACTGTTTTCACTGGCAGTTGGCTCAGTAAGCAGGTGAGACAAATTTAAGATAATTGGCAAAAGACAGAGGGGAGATGAGGAGACTTTTTTTTACATGGAGAGTTGTTATGTTCTGGAATGCACTGCCTGAAAGGGTGATGGAAACAGATTCAATAACAACTTTCAAAAGGGAATTGGATAGGTACTTGAAAAGGAAACATTTGCAAAGATATGGGCAAAGAGGGGGGGAGCAGGTCTGATTGGATAGCTCTTTCAAAGAGCTGGCATAGGCACGATGGACCGAATGGCCTCCTTCTGTGGCTGTATGATTCACACAGATTGCTGAACATTGTATGCTCTTGATCCGGAATAAAGCTGTTTTGTACTAAAGAGGTTAAGGAGGCTCTGAGTGCTTTAACTAATGTGAATTTCCAATTCCAGGAGCCTCAGTGGTAATGGTCATCAACAAGAAACTGCCCAGAAGTAACACCAGTCTTTTAAAAGCCGTGTGACGTGTCTCAAATTCCACAGTTATGAGAGTCTCAGGTAGGCACTTGCTTTTCAAATTCTACGAACAAGAGTGAGAATTTTGTATTTACATTTCAGTAAATGCACTTTGTCAGGAATTGGTGAGGATGGAATAAAGAGAAAATGTTTATTCTTTACGTTCCATAACTGCTTCTTAAAAGTAAAAAGGGATTTCTGAGGGACATCTGATCTAGGGAGCTAGTCTGCAAATTAAGCAATAGTTCAGCAATGTAGGATGCGCATAAATATCGTCTGACTAAAAGGGCACAGCCAAAACATCAAAAACCTATGAAGTGAGAAGCTGCTGCAGAGCTAATACAGAAGATTCAATTAATCTTTACACTAATACGTAAATATGACAAGAAAGGATGTGTTAAGTGCCGTGGGGATTGAATGGGTAGATTTAATCAGCTTTACAGAGTCTTTAAATCAGATGAAAAGATCGGCACAAGCTTTATTCAGAAGGGTCGTGGATAATGTTGCTGGCACCGAAGTGAAGTGTATGGCAGTTACTAAAAATAATGATAAATGCAAGGATTATTATTATTATCGGATTACTATCAAATTGTCCCTTCTCCCCATGATGATCCACGCCAATGGGCTAACCATGCCTCTCTGACCCCCCGCAGTTCGCTCTTAGTCTCGGTGTGCGCATTTTGGCTGCTGGCACCGACCGAAAGTGCTTCCCCAAAATGCTCTCACCCCTGTCCCTCCATTACTCCCACTCGGTCCTCCTCTCCCACCGCCCTCCCTGACTCCTATCCCTGCTCAACCGCCCACAGCCTCCCTCTGCTCCAGCCTGCGAATCCTCCATCGGTCCCACCATGGCAGACACTGCTGGCTGTCTAACAGCAGCCACTCTGACTGCCCTATCCCCCATTCTCACCGCAAGGTCCATTGGTCCTTGACCATGGGGGCAAACCTCTCCTCCCTCATCCACATCCCCACCCTCCCTGTCAGTCCTCTCCCTCCCTCCCCTCGCCCCCTCATATTCCACCACCAACTATCACCTCCGCATTGGTCTACAAAAAGTCTGTTCCCTCTCCAACAAAACACTCAGCGTCCATTGTCGACGAAAACATTGACATTCTCGCCCTCCCTGAAACCTACTCTGTGACTCCATCTCCCCTACTCTTGCCCGACTCCATTGGCTCCCTATCCTTCAGAGGATCCAGTTCAAGATCCTGGTCCTCACCTACAAAGCCCTCCATGGCCTCGCCCCACCCTATCTCTGTGACCTCCTAACCCCCTACCGACCCGCCCGCTCCCTCCGCTCAGCCGGCTCTGGCCTGCTGCACGTCCCCCGACCCACCCGCCTCACCATTGGCAGGAGAGACTCCAACCACTCTGCCCCCAACCTCTGGAATTCCATCCCCCAGTCACTCTGCCTCGCCCCCTCCTTAGCCACCTTCAAGTCCCGCCTCAAAACCCTCCTCTTCGACCATGCCATCGGCCCCTCCCCTCCCTTCTCCCCCTTAATCCCAGGTAGGGTCTGAAATGCTGTACACTGTCCAGCACCTTGGGATGTCCTCCCGATGTGAAAGGCACTATACAAATGTAATCGTGTTGTTGTTGGATCCAGGCAACACCTTCCCCCTGACAGAGGCCCCACCATCTGGCTACACCTTCCATCATACCCCTCAACCTAACTGGCACTGGTTCTCATCTCCCGGTCCCCGCTCAGCCTATCCCCTTACTCCTCTGGAACCTACCCCTCCTTTGAGTACCTTACCCTTTATCACGACTCCAACTTTTCCCTCAAAATTCTCCTTATCTCCTCCCAACGTGAAAGGTGCTGTACAACTGTAATGTTGTTGTTGTTATCTATCACACCCCTCCCCAACCTCCATCCCTGACACTTTCATCTTCCTATCTTCCCTCTCCCTCTGCTCCGAATGCCTCCTCATCCTAGGCAGCTTCAACCTTCATTTCACCCCCTCCTGCTCTACCTCTGCTGACTTCTCCTCCCTTTCTCCTCCCTCAACCTTTTGTTCCACATCCACTCCGCCACCCACGTCTTTGGTCACCCCCTCCACCTGGTGATCACTTGGGGCCTCACCGTCTTGGACCTCACCATCATCAACAAAGCAGTCTCAGACCACTACTTCATCTCCCTTAACTTCTCAATCCTTCTCCCCATCCCCACCCAACCCACCTCCATCTCCTACTGCCCTTGGATAAAAATCTCCCCCCACCACCCTCGGCTGCCTTGGAGTCATCTGAACTCCTTCCCCTCTAGGCTTTCTCCTGCAATGACCTATCCTCCTCTTCTCCATAGCTTCCTCTCCTCCACTCTTGATTCCCTTGCTCCCCTCTCTTCCTGAACCGTCTCCCACTCACGTAAGTCACCGTGGTGTACCAGCCACCTTTGCTCCCTTAAAGCACAGGTGCGTGCTGCTGAACACACCTGGCTGAAATCGAACTTAATGGTCCATCGGCAGATTGCGTCCGCCCTCTCACGCCTTGCCCATCCCCACCTCCAATGCCAACTGCGAGGCGATGCTGGACTTCGAATCCAAAGATGAGGGGATCTGCTTAGCTGCCTCTGGCATTCCAACTACTACACCTTCCCCATCACTGGCTCCCACCCCAGCTCCTACCCATCCCTCCCTCCACGCCTTCGAACCCGTCTCCCACTCCAGTCTCACCACCACGATGAAAGCGACCACCTGCTCCCTCGACCCCATCCCTACCCCCAGACATCATAAAACTTTCCCTGTCCACTGGTACTGTTCCCACCCCATTTAAAAACGGCTGCTATCACTCCCTCCCTGGAGCCACCTCTGCTCTCAACCTTCCGCCCCATCTCCAACCTCTCTTTCCTCTCCAAGGTCCTGGAACAAGTTGTTGCTTCCCCACTTCGCTCCTTTCTCTCCCTCCCTCTTGGAGTCTTGTTTGACTCTCAACTATCCTTTCTACCCCGCGCCCAGCTCCGCCACTGTCTCACACCACAGGCCACCGAAACTCTCATACGCATTCATAACATCTAGGCTTGATTAGCAAGCTCCCTGCTGTTGGCCTCCCCAACTCCTCCCTCTATAGGCTGCAGATCATCCAGAACTCTGCAGCCTGTGTTCTCACCCGCACCAGGCTCCATGAGACCTATTGCCCCCATCCTTGCCCTACTCCACTGGCTTCCCATCACACAGTTCAAGATCCTGGTCCTCACCTTCAAAGTCCTCCATGGTCTTGCTCCCCCCTACCTCTGTGACATCTTAACACCCTACCATCCTTCCTGCTCCCTCCGCTCAGTGGGCTCTGGCCTGCTTCACTTCCCCCACCATGCCTGCCCCACCTCGCCCCCTCCCTTGCCTCCTTCAAGACCCATCTCAAGACCCTCCTCTTCACCTATGCTTTAGACCACCCTGCATCCCCCTCCTGCCCTCCACCATCCCCAATCCCAACCCCCAGCTCGGGTCTGAAACTCTGACTGTCTCTCGACATGAAAGGCGCTGTTCAAATGTAATTTTGTTGTTGTATTATTATTAACCTTTGGATAACTTGAGGCCAAAGATTTCAAATGGAAGTTTAGGAATTGATGTGGATTGGGCTATAGGAGGAAACTGAAATATGTGTTTGAAAACTAGAAGAGATCTAGCAGGGTGTCATTAATAGAATTAAACTTGGTCAACTAAGGCTCCTTTAATCTGATTTGGACTGTGATGAGGCACTGGGGTTTTCAAAAAGGAAAATAAAAGTCTAATAAATCTGCCGCTGGATGATAACAGCGGAAGTGAAGAGTGACCTTGTATTTGAAATTATGTTAGAAGGCGAACAACTTCTCACAATTGAAGAAAATAAATAGTAATAATTCTTGCATTTGATATAATGCTTTATGCAAAAATCTCAAAGCACTTCACAGGATTTACTATCAAGCAGTAATATTGCTAACTAGTTATTTCACCCTTTTCAAATCCAGCTCCTCTGGTTCCATTCCACATCTGCAACTCACATGACATGTCATATTGGAGCCCTGCCTTTCCAGTGCCCCTTTTTGTTTCAAAGTGCTCGACAGCAGATGCATACAGAGCTACTCAATGTGTGCTTGCATACATTTCATCCCAATTGTTAAAATTGAATTGTGACTGTTTGAAGAATAACTGTGTTGAATGCTCTTTTGCAGTGCTGATCCGTGGTGTGGTGGTGCTGCTCATCAGCATCCTGACTCTATACATCACAAATAAACTAATGAATTCTCCACAAAACATCAACAACATAAAATGGATGCTAGGTATGGGCAGCGGATTCAGTGGAAGAATAATGGAAGGGAGATCATTACTTTCAATGTGATTATGCTGGAAATCTTATTCATAATGTTAAAGAGATAATTGCTATTAGTTGTGCCCTGTCTGGGGTGTAAGCCAGGGTATATAAATAGGATTAGGGGTGTGGTTGTCCATTTGATATCAATATTAATGTTTGTGGGCAGCTCCACTGATAGCCTGGTGAGTTAAAGGTCACAGATCAGATATTCGAAGCCTGAAATTTAGCATTGATAACATAAAGACAATTGTTTTAACATGTAAGAATGTGTGGCATTTAGGAAAAACCTTAAACATTTTAATTTGGAAAACATCTGACTGTTCTAGTAGTTCATGTTTGAAGTGGACATAGACAATCCCTTGACACTATTTTGAAGAGTTCTTTCTGTGTCCTGGCCGTTGTTTCTCCTTTACCTGGTTCACCACTCGGTTTGTCAAAGATTTCGAGATGTTCCTTTAGATGAAAGTCTCTATAAAAAATTAAAGTTATTACTATCAATCAAATTCACCAAAACAGCCTGGTGCGGTGGTAGCACTCTCGCTTCCGAGTCAGAAGATTGTGAGTTCAAGCCCCACATTGGAACTTAAAATAATAGTCCACGCTGACACTGCAATGCAGTGCTGGGGATGTATTGGTTGCATTGTCAGAGGTGCCGTCCTTCAGATGAGACGTTAAACCGAGGTCCCACTTGCCTGTTGAGGTGGTCGTTAAAGATTCCATGGCACTATTCAAAACCTGGCTAACAATCACCCAACATAATATAGGTCACTCATTCCAAGGCTGTTTGTGGAACATTGCTGTGCGCAACTGGCTGCTGCATTTCACTCACAAAATACACTGGCAATCCACTTTACAGTGAAGCGCTTTGAATAGTCTCAATGATGTGATGATAATAATAATATTTTATATAGCACCTTATCACGTCTTCAAGACGTCTCAAAGCACAATAAGGCATCATATCAAATTTATGGACTATTATGATTATTATTTTTAAAACACAGTTTTGGTCATTGTTGTAGACTTGATTTTATGTAACTGGTATAGAATAGCTGCTGCTTCTGCCAGTAATCAGTGTATCTTAAAGTAGCTCATTGTGTGAAGTACTTTGAGATATTTCACTTGACAAGATACTATATCAAATGCAAGTAATATTTTTGCTATTTTGCTATTAATGCAACACATCCATCGTGAGATAGTCAGCTATTTCACTTTGCTGCCATTCTTCAAACATAAATGATTTTCATGGAAAACATGATTGAGTAAAATCTTCTGTAATGGTCCAGACACTGAGAGTTTGGCGCACATTCTGAATGATGATACAACTTTCAACTTGGAACATCTTTGACGATGTAGCACTCTTTGAGTATTGCTCTTGAATGTCCACATGAGGTTACATCCCAACTGGGGCCTGAACCTAGTCTTCTGACCCAAGCGGCAAGAGTTTGAGACTTTTCAATGAAGTGAAAAGACGCTATTATCAATTGCAAGGATTATTGTAATTTTACTTGAGTAAAAGGCATTTTACTGGTTAAAACTGCTGTATAATGAAAGGAATTAATCTGACGTGATATTTTCTTGTACAGGTGAAACAACACAATCTCGCTCCAGTGAGTACATGTATTTTCATTCCCCGTGCATTACTCTGATGTCTAGTCTTTCCGTGTTTCCCTGCATGATTCTCCATATACTTACAGTAGAGAAGTGTCCACTTTCCTTATTCTCTACAGCACTATACTGGAGAGCATTCACACAGTAAATCTATGTTCAGAGAAGGGGCGGGGTGAGCGGGGGTGGGATAGGGAGAGAGTGGGGATAGGGAGGGGAGGCGGAGAGAGGGGGGGCGGAGAGAGGGGGGAGTGTGCAAGGGGGGAAGAGAGTGTGTATGTGAGACTTGAGTGAGAGGTGAGAGGAAGATTGAAAGAGGGTGATTGGAAGTGAAGGGCGGAGGGGGGGTCGGAGGGGGGGGGGGGTCGGAGGGGGGGTGGTTGGGGCGTCGGAGTGGGGGGGGGGAGGGGGCGGAGGGGGGGGGAAGAGAGTGAGTATGTGAGACTTGAGTGAGAGGTGAGGGGACGATTGAAAGAGGGTGATTGGAAGTGAAGGGGAGAGAGAGAGAAATAGGGAGGGAGAGAGCAGAGCAAGAGTGATCGAGAGAGAGGAGAGTGATTGAGAGAGCGTGAGGGAGAGAGAGAGCGAAAAACAAAAAAGTGAGAGCAGAGAGAGAAGTGAGGGCAATATTTTGTGGTTCACTGTCAGATGATCAGAGCCTCCCTCAGCCACCAAGGTGGAGGGGGCCCCAAGGACATGTGCAGTTTCCTCACAGAAAGTTCCCTCTTTCCCAATTGAGAAACTCCTCTTCATTCTTCATTCCCCCACATCTCTGCAACCTCCTGACCCGGCTGTTCCCTTTGCAGAGCAAATACCAGCTTACTTCATGTCCCCCCCCCCCCACCTCATCTGCCCCACCATCGCCATTCTTCCCCGGCTCTCTGGAGTTCCATTTCTGGAGTCCCTCCGACCTGCTCCCTCCCTCCCCTCTTTCAAGGCACGTCAAGACTTAACGCTTTGACAATGCTTTCGGTCATCTTTTCCGCTCCCATCCCATCACTCTCAGCACCCATCCCCCATCTCAGGTACCCAGCCGACAGAGTCAAGCGCTTTGAGGTGTCCTTCCAACATGAAAACGGTGCTGTGTAATGTTGCTATGTTTCTGAAAGGGAAGCACAAAATATTGCTTACACGGCCCGCGGACCTTGTTTAATAGGGAATCTGGCCCATGGCAGCCAAAAGGTTGGATCACCCTGACGTAAGTTATACATCATATGGTGTGTTGATTTCTGTCATGACTGGTTTTAGTTAGACTTCTGGTAACTACATAGAGGTAGTCCAGCTAATAATGGAGATCTTGTCTTCATTTTTCACAAAGCGAGTAGTTCGGATCTAGAATGCATTACCTGAAAGGGTGGTGGAAGCCGTTCGATAACAACTTTTAAGAGAGGAGTAGATAATTATATGGGGAGGACAAGTTTGCAGGATTATGGGGAGAGCGCGGGGGAGTAGGATTGATTTGAGTAGCTCTTTTCAAAGAGATGGCACAGACACGATGGGCCAAATGGCCTCTTTCTGTGCTGTACAATTCTAGGATTTGACAGGTTTTGTAATATGAATTCTTGCATATGATATAGTGCCTATAACATATGTTAAGTGTATGACATGGTAGCCAAATGCAGCAGTCATTACAAAAAGGTATGAAATAAATGACCAATTAATCTGGCAAATCATTGGCCAGGACACCTAGAGAATCATGCTTCTCTTTTTGAGTGTCAAGGGATCTTTAATATGAACCTGACAGGCAGATGGGACCTTGGCTTAATATCTTATAAGACAATGCAATGCGCCTCCAGGATTGAACTGGAGTAACCAAGTGAGTTCACATATCCTGGCATTGAACCAGACCCAAAAACAAATTGCATGTGTGCAGTGCCCCTCACGTTGGGAGGACATACCAAGGCGTTGGGCAGTCTAGGTTTTCTCCCGAAATGAGCTATCCTTGGTTACTCTCCTCCACAACTCCATACCACTCCTGATGCCCTTGTCCCCCTCACCTCCCGAACTACCTCCTACTCACGCAAGTCATCCTGGTACACCAGCCACCTCCATTCTCTCAAGGCACGTAACCCAGCGGTAAGAATGCCAGCAACTGAGCCCAGCTGAGACACAGCCTTTTCCTATCTATCCCAACAAAGAGCTGGTCTCTTTAATTACCTGGATGCCCACGTACAAATCTCCTTCTAGCCAACTCTGTATTTATACTCTTTTCCTCCATTGACAGATGCCTTTCTCTTCAGTCTCTCTGAGGGGTGAGGCAACATCGCCCAAAGCCACCACTGCCTCATCCCTCTGGCCGCTGAAACCCTCATCCACTCGTTCATCACATCTAGGGTTGACTTTGCCAACTCCCTGCTTGTCAGGGTTCCCAACTCTTCCATCCACAAGCTGCAGATCATCCAGAACTCTGCAGCTTGTGTCCTCTTTCACACCAGGCTCTGTGACCTCATCACCCCCACATTCACCCGGCTCCACTGGCTCCCCATTGCCCAGTGGATAGAGTTCAATATCCTCGCCTTCAAGGCCCTCTCTACCTCTGCGACCCACTGACCCCATATCAACCAGAGCAGGCTCTGGCCTGCTCCACGGCTCGCTCGGTCCACCCCATCATCAGCAGCCGGACCTTCAGCCTCTCTACCCCAACCCTTTGGAACTCCCTTCCTTGCCTCCTTCAAGGCACATCTCAAAACCCTCTTCAACCAAGCCTTCGGCCACCCTCTTACTTACAACAACAAAATTACATTTATAGAGCGCCTTTCACGTCGGGAGGTCGTCCCAAAGCCCTGAACAGTCAATTATCAGGGCCCGAGCATGGGGAAGGGGTGGTGTAGGGGTGAGGGAAGGCAGAGAGGTGTGAGGGAGATCAAAGGCAGGGTAGAAGAGAAGGGTCTTGAGACCGGCCTTGAAGGAGGCAAAGGAGGAATTGAGGCGAAGGGACCGTGGGATTGAGTTCCAGAGTGTGGGGGCAGAGAGGCTGAAAGCCCGGCCACAGATGGTAGGTCGGGCCGGAGCCTGATGAACGGAGGGAGTGGGCAGGTTGGTAGGGAGTCAGCAGGTCAGAGAGGTAGGAGGGGGCAAGGCCATGGATGGCCTTAAGGGTGAGGACGAGGAGCTTGAACTCGATCCTCTGGGGGATGGGGAGCCAGTGAAATTGGGCGAGGGTGGGAGTGATGGGGTCACGGAGCCTGGTGGTGAGAGTACGCAAGCTGCAGAGTTTTGGATGATCTGCAGCTTGTGAAGGGAAGAGTTGGGAAGGCTGATGAGGAGGGAGTTCCCGTAATCAAGCCTTGAGGTGGCAAATGCATGGGTGAGGGTTTCAGCCTCTTTGCCCTCCACCCACCCCGATCCCAATCCCCAGCTCGGGTCTAAATCCCTGACTATCCAGTGGGTTTGGATGTCCTCCTATGGCACTATATAAATGTAATTTTGTATTGTATTTGCCACTGGCAGATTGAATGTCACCATGCTTGGTATTCTCAGTTATCAGTGCTTCTAACTAACACATCTTATGGCATCTTATGTCACCTGTAAAATAGATCAGAATAACAGTCTTGTGTGTTTCCAACTTGTCGGTTAAATGAGCGAGCGTAATGTTTTTAAAAAATCTGACACTGCTGGTCATTCTAATACCTCTGTGAAGAACATTTTACAGTTAACAAGACTTTAAAATGACAATTTTTAAAAAAGTCAAATGGGGAAGGTGCTTTTTAGAAACTGCACAACATAATAAATTGTATTGTAAATGATTTTTTTTATCATTGACAGAAAAGAATGATGAGCGCCAGCCCTGTGATATTGAATGCCCAGAGCACAATTATCCCTTTAGGATCATTAGTGGAGCAGCCAGTGTTGTGGGACCCAGCATCTGTTTCAATGGGAACATGTAAGTAACCAAACCCAGAACCGTGAAAACAAATTTATAATAATAGTCCTTGCACTTTTATATTGCGCCTTTCATATCAGGATTTCCTTCCCCGTTTGACTTTTTCCAAAACGCCTGATTATCCAGCGCCCTGGAATGTCTTTCCGATGTGAAGAGCACGATACAATTGTAATTTGTTGTTGCATCAGGATGCACACTCCATCTCACCAAGCCGGTCAGGAACCTGGGCATCTTGTTCAACCCTCAACTCCTTTCTGCCCCATATCCGCACCATGGCCCGCTCTACCACCCCAACATTGCCCGATTCTGCCACAGCCTCACACCTCAGGCCGCCTAAACCCTCATACATGCGTTCGTTACCTCAAGGCTCGACTACGGAAATTCCTTCCTAGTCGGCCTCCCCACCTCTTCCCTCCACAAGCTGCAGATCATCTGGAACTCTGCAGCTCATGAATGCCCCTTCACCAGACTCCGTGATTGCATCACTCCCACTCTCAACTGGCTCCACAGGCTCCCCAGCCCTCAGAGGACAGAATTCAAAATCCTCGTCCTCACTTTGAAGGCCCTCCACGGTCTCACCCTCTCCTACAACTCTATCCTGTTGACCCCCTATCAACCTATCCGCTCCTTCTGCTCAGCAGACTCCGGCCTGCTCCATGTCTCCCGCCCTATCATCAGCGGCTGGGCTTTCAGCCTTTCTGCCCCCATCTTCTGAAACTCGATCCCACAATCCCCTCACCTTGCTCCCTTCCTCGCCTTCTTCAAGGTACAACTCAAGACCCTCCTTTTCGACCATGCCTTCAGCTGCCCTCCTACCTCTCTGCCCTCCTTCACCCCAACCCGCCCCCCACGCTCGAGTCCTGATCCCTGACTGTTCAGCACCTTGAGATGTCCTTCCGACATGAAAGGCACTTTACAAATGAAATGTTGTTGATTTACTATAAAGTGTAGTAACTGTAATTTGTAGGCGAACATAGCAGTCAATTTGCATATAGCAGTGCTATCTCAGATATTGTTGGTCGGGATACTAGAAGATTCTGCCTTCTCTTTTCAAGTAGTGCCATGGAATCTTTAAAGTTTACCTGAACAGGTAGACAGGATCTCATCTTTAATGACTCAATTGAAAGATGATGCTTCCAACAATGTAGCATACTGTATTGCATTGAAGTGTCAGCTGGGTTCACTTTCTACATGAGTCAGGAAGTTGTGGGTTTAGGCTCCGGTCTAGCCTGCCTGTTCAGGTGGATGTTAAAGATCCCATTGCATTATTCAAAAAGAGAAGGGAGTTTCTCCCAGTGTCCTGGCCAACAATCCCCCAAATGAAATTGAACACTCACTTCATGGCTGTTTGTAGGACATTGCTGCGTGCAAATTGACTACCTTGATCTACTTCTACGGGAATTCATGTAAAACTCTTTACAACATGAAGAGGCACAATATCAAGGATTACTATTGTAATAAGAATTGGGATGGGAAGACAGTAGAGTCCAGCAAGATTGGGGGGGTGATGGGCTTGTGGAGCCTGATGGAAGGAAGGACATAGCTGTAGATCCGCGGTTTGTGTTAGATCATAAGATTGGTAAAGGTTTAAGATCTCTTATCTTTTCGCAGCCTGATGAGCAACATAAAGAACAACATCGGGAGAGGGTTGAACATCGCTCTAGTGAATGGTGAGTGGATTCTCAGCCTGCTTCACCTTGCTGTACAATACTGCCTCATATCTAATCTGTAGCTCTCTGTTTTCCGCAGCTACAACAGGTAAAACAATGCAGACAGACTTCTTTGACATGTGGTCCGGAGGTAATGCAAGCATTATTATTATTATCATAAGATTCTTAAAACCTTTTTCTGCCCCCTGACTTTAGAACTAGTTTTAGTGCAACTTTTTGAAAAAAATAATCTTTTGCAAAGACCCTGAAATTCCACCTCGGCTTAGCCTGTGGGATCATGTTGACTTTAAAGTTTAAGATCACGCAGAATTGTGGAAATGTTTTCAATCCGGCCTTAATTTGGAGGCTGGCTCTTTTAAACAACTCCAATAAAAAGAAAACTGCCAAATTAAAACTGGGTTAACACATTTTCCACAATTCTACGCAAACTCAAATTTTACGGCGTTAACTGGCTAACGTTGGGTGAAATGTTTTGCTTAGGAGAGAAAGCTATCATCTTTCAGTAATTTGCAGGGTCAGAGACAAACACTGATTAGAAATAATAGGTAAATTCTGTTGCGTTAAATACAGCTAGCTGCCATGTGCCAAACAAGGAATCGAGAGTGAGTATGTTGATAATTCTGTGCAGGAGTTTTAAGACCTTTTTTTGAAAAAAAGGTCCTCATTCCCTTTTCTTTCCAGATATCAATCTGCTTCTGGCATTCCTTAAACCAATAGTTTCCGGAACCATTGTGCTACTTGCTTCTTTTGACGACCCAGCGACAAAGTAAGTAAAGGTAATTTTGTGGGAATGTGATAGTTAAGGCAGCCTGACTGCATTATTGTTGCGGATGTTATAGAAATGCGTAAGAACCCGTCTAGATTTACGTCATTGTTCCCCAGTGAAACAAATGGATGTATGATCTGTGGTTATCACTCTTGACTCCGCACAATCCACTGCACAATTCCACAGATAAATCGATACTCTGTTTAAATGATATAAATACTAAAATTAATACATTTGATATAGAGCCTTTTCTGTTAGGAGACTTCTCAAAGCGCTTCACAGGACATACCATGAATATTAATGACTGTATTGTGTGGATGAATGTAACTGCCAATTTGCACACAGCAATGTCCCTCAAATTGCCATGTCGTGAATGATGAATTTTATCCAGGAGATTGCTGGCAAGGACACCAGGACAATCTCCTTTCTCTTTTTGAATAGTGCCACGGGTTTAATATCCAGCTGAACCAGCAGTCGGAACCTCAGGTTAACATCACATACAAAGAACACCTCCTCCAACAATGCAGTGCATTGGAGTGTTACCCTAGACGGAGTTTAAAGTTCTGACATGGGGTTGGAACAAACAACCTTCTGACTTAGGGGTGAGAGTGTCACCAACTGAGCCAGATACTTTGAGATGTTTTGACATTGTGGCAGCTGCATCTAATGCAAAGATTATTATTGACCATCAGTGTTTGTTGAACACCTTTACAGGAAAGTGAAGCGATTTATTCAATTTGAGCCTGAGCTGAATTCAAAATGGAAATAAAAGAAAGTTGTTCAAATGGGCTTTATAATAATAATAATCCTTGCATTTGATATAGCGCTTTTCATGTCTTCTAGATGTCTCAAAGCGCTTCACACAATATACTGTAAAGTGAATTGACTGTATATTTTGTGGGCGAAACGTGGCAGCCAATTGCACACAGCAGTGACCCACGTGGATTGAGTTTTTTAATTATTGTTTTTTTAGGTATTATCCCCGGAAAAGCGATCCACCAATCGACTAATTAACCGGGTTGCTACTTATCGCTAGGTAAACATAGGCATGTGGAGTAAGGAAACTTGCCCAACATTTCGCCCTGTCAGTATAGAACCCAGATCTCGTTTGCGAGGCGAATGCTCTAACTAATGAGCAACAGGCCTACACAACCTATTTATACTAATAATATGAATGAATGGACAAAACCGAAATTAAATAGACTTCATCAGTATGTTTCCTTTTATATTTTTAGGATGAATGATAAAGCAAGAACTATCTTTAGTGAACTGGGGAGTTCTTTAATTCATTCAGTGAAATTTCGAGACAACTGGGTTTTTGTGGGAGCAAAAGGAATTAAGGAAAAAAGTCCATATGAACAGGTAAGAATCCAGAAGGATAATTATTTTAAATATTTTTTATGGCATATTTATAGTTTTAAAATATTTGGTTTGGGCTTATGTTTACACTGCGGTAAGAGGTGAGTAGGCTTAGAAAGCTGTCCTTTCTCCCTCATATCCGCGCCACAACTGGCACCGCCTTCCATCACCTCCGGAATGTCACCAGACTACGGCATTACCTCACCCCTCACGCGGCTGAAACTCTGGTCCACGCCTTTATCACCTCAAGGCTGGACTATGGGAACTCTCTCCTCGCCGGCCTTCCCGGCACCTCCCTCCACAAGCTGCAGGTCATTCAGAACTCTGCAGCTCGTGTACTGTCCCGCACCAGGCTTCGGGACCACATCACTCCCACCCTCGCTCGCCTCCACTGGCTCCCCATCCCCCAGAGGATCGAATTCAAGATCCTCATCCTCACCTACAAGGCCATTCACGGCTTTGCTCCCTCCTACCTCTCTGACCTACTATCCCCCTACCTACCTGCCCGTACCCTCCGTTCCTCTGGCTCCGGTCTGCTCCACATCCCCCGCTCCAACTGCCCTACCATCAGTGGACGGGCCTTCAGCCTCTCAGCTCCTAGGCTCTGGAACTCCATCCCCCAGTGCCTTCACCGCCTCCTCTCTTTCCTCCTTCAAGGCCGGTCTCAAGACCTTTCTCTTTGACCGTGCCTTCAGCTCCCCTCTCGACTCTCTACCCCCTCCTCGCTCCCTCCCTTCCCTCACCCTGACCATTTCCCCCCTGCTCGGGTCCTGACCCAACTGTACAGTGCCTTGGGACCTCCTCCCGACGTGAAAGGCGCTCTATAAATGGAATCTTGTTGTTGTTTAACTCCACCGTGCTGGGCTTGGTATCAGAACGTCAGAATCAAGTCAAACCTCTGTGGCGTTCTCGGCAGTCTGGTTTCTAAGTCAGGCGAGTCCGCAGAACTCCAGGGCACTGTGTTTTTATGTAGCATTTTAGAACATCCAAAATATGGCAGATTCTTAAAAGCAGCCTCAATGTAAAGCTAGTTTAAGGGGGTGGGTGGGGAGGCTGTCAAACAAAACGTGTGATCAAAACCTTTTTGTATTAACAGATCATCCAAAATGACAAAGCAAAAAACAAATATGGAGCGTGGCCTGAGGCGGTGGAAATGGAAGGCTGCATACCAAAGAAGCATAATTAGCGGACTTATTACCCTTAATATCACAACAGAGAATCATAAAACCACAGAAATGTACAACACAGTAGGAGGCCATTGTGTGTCTTGTTGCGCCCCCTCCCCACCCCCAACCCCAGACTTAACTTTTAGCTACATCAGTAAAGAGGTAATTGGAGAACAGGACACACGATTATATTACGGACTGTTCTTCAACTGCTCCAATTCAAGCCTTTGCTATGTTTGCTGCAGTACCTCTGATCAACTTGCAGGTAGCAATGATTTTTTAAACTGGAGCAAGATCACATAAGCCCAGAAATGCACAGGAATGAAATGAGGCCTGAACTACATGGTTGATGCATGAAAGTTAGAAGTGGAAGGCCTGAATTATGTTTTATGTAAAATAAATAAAGGAACTTTACTCAATATTTTCTAAAAGTGATACCTTCAAAAACCTCAGGTTCTTGCGTATGAATTACTGTATTTTAGAGTAATTTAGTCTCCAACATCTGTCCCTGCAGTATTTTGTTTGTGAAAAGCTCGGTATAAATAGGTATTGTAGCATATTGCGCTTGAACATGCTTAATCCAACTATCTTGACGAAGTGGCTGCTTTTTTAAAACAAAAGTCATCCAATGCAACAACTCGCATTTATAGTGCCCTTCACGTGGGGCGGTGTCTTGGAGCACTTAACAACAACAAGATTACATTTGTATAGCACCTTTCACATCGGGAGGATGTCCCAAGGTGCTGAAACAGTGATGGAGCCTGACGCTGAGCCGGGGAGGAGGGGGAGAGGAGCTGATCGTAAGCATAGTCGAAGAGGAAGGCCTTCAGTCGTGATCTAAAAGGGGGAAGGAAGGGGCAAGGCGGAGGGATTGGGTAAGAGAGTTCCAAAGCTTTGGAGGATAATGAAAGCCTGGCCACCGATGGTGGAGGGGACGAGGTACAAGCAGTAAACCAGAGCCTTAACTATATTTCAAAACAGGCAGTTTGATACATCTATAACTTATGTTGATATATTTATTAATCTGACTTCAAGTCATAAAATTGTTTTTAGAAGCACTAGTTGAAATTTGTTTCTAGTGGGTATACTGAATCTTAATATATTTTGATCACTAAATTGGCCATTACATTGTGTGTTTCTGCAATTAACCCAGGTCAGAAGCAAATGGTCACTCCCCTACATGACCACTAGATGGCCACCATGTCCTATAAAAGAGATCAATGGTACGGTTATGTATGTACAGTGACAGTACGGCAGCTGAGATTAAACAGTCATTATTTATAAATATCCATACTGACTAACTTTCTGAATGTAAGTTAGTTGTTTATAGCATATATCCATATTAAAATGAAGGACACCAATGCGCTTGTCTGAGGTGAGGTCCTTCAGAAGAGATGTTAAATCCACATCCGAGCTGTCCAGGTGGGCGTTAAACATCCAGTGAAACTATTCATAACGTGAAGGGCGTTTCTCTCAGTGTCCTGGCTAACAATCCCTCAGATAAAATTGATCATTTATTTCATGGCTATTTGTGGGGTATTAAAATACTGGAAATCCATGTAGCTCAGGAACATGTCTAATCAGACTACTGCAGTGGGCTGACTCACTTCCAATATTCTGATACCAAACATGTCAACTTGCAGCTCCAAGGAAATTCTGTTTACCTCCCCCTCAACAAGAATAGAAAATACAGAAAGTCATTCTTACATAATGAAAAGTAAGTGGATTTTGAAAGCTGCATCCTTGAAGGTTAAATTCATATAGTTGCTACAGAAACCAGCCAGTGCTCTGACCTTGAATTATAATTAATTTGATTTTTATCAACAAAATCTGTATACTTTTATATAATGAAAGTAATCTGCCTTTGCAAACCTGGTGCTAAACAATACTTTACACTAAGACAATACTTTACACCCAGTATGGCATACTGACATCCTCTAGTAGATTTAATTGCTTTTCTTATAAAGTCACAGCATTTCACAGCAGGGAAGACCTCTCCATAGTTCATTGTACCTGCACTGCTATTAACTTCCCCAGTGGAGCTATCTCCTTTTTTCCCCATTTCCTGATTTTTTTTTCCCCTACACACCTTGCAAATACACAATCACTACACTTTAGAGCAATTCCCTGTGAAGCACTTTGAGAGCTTTGACATTTCTAGGTGTTGTTTCAAATGCTAGAATTATTATTATGAATGTAAATTTTCCTGAAGTACTTTTCCATTTCTCTTCCAATGCTGAAATAGATGTGGCTACAAGAGCCTATTGTGTGCGGTCAGACATTTTATGGCATGACATGATGGTGAGACATGTTATTTCATTGCAAACCAGTTAACACTGGTAACACACAAATGGGCTTCCAATTGTGCAATGGTCATTATAACCTGATTGTATATAATAATCTTTGAATGTGATTATAGCGCCTTATCACATCTTCGAGACATCTCATAGCGCTTCACAGAATATACTGTAAAGTGAATTGTATATTTTGTGGGCAAAACGCGGCAGCCAATTGCACACAGCAGTGTCCCACAAGCAGTTGCGGATTGAGTGACCAATTTATTATTACTATTTATTTATTATTTATTATATACACACAATGAAAACTGCCTTTTGCTTCATGTTGCTCAGGTTAGTGCACATTCTGATCTGTCGTGGTACTGTGGAGATTGCGAGACATTATGTTGACAGCAGCTGGGAGACTGGATTGGGCACAGTGCCACTTCACCAACTCTTTGGAGTTGATTTTGCTTTTGACCAATGGGTGCCCGCAACATAGAAACACTTCACCGTGGTTAAGAGTATCCAAACCAGACTGAGAGTTCCGCAAGTGCATGGGAATTTCCATTTGTCCAGTATGGAGTCCGTGCTCTCCCTCACTCTCTAAACAGGGCTCTGTCATTGATCACCAGGAGCAAGTAACAAAGACCTCAAAGTGGCAACCAGAAAAATGTTTCTTGAGGCCTCTTCCTTTGACAGATCTAGTTTCTCTGGGTCTCAGCACGAAAATCTGACTGATCCAATCAGCTGCCATATTATTTTCTAAAATGCCTTAGGTTCCCCCGGAGGTTGGCACAAGTGTCTAGTTGATGTGACTGCCTTTTTTTTGCAAGCTGGTAATACTGTTTTTGCTCTTTGCAACAGCGTTCCAGAATATTCCCTGTTGTACATAGTCGGTCATTTACAACGAGAATTGATCTGCCAATTTATTGGTATCTGCTATGTTCTGCAAATGGTTTCTCCTCCTGCCCCCGCCCGGTCACCTGCGGGGCACCCCAGGGCTCCATCCTTGGCCCTCTTCTTTTCCTTATTTATATGCTCCCTCTGGGCGATGTCATCCGCAGACACAGAGCAAACTTCCACATGCAGATGACACACAAATCTACTTTGCCTCCTGCAGCATAGACTCCAGGTCCATTGATGTTCAAATGCAGCTGAAACCCTCATGCATGCGTTTGTCACCTCCCTCCTGGATTACTCAAACGCACTCCTCACTGGTCTCCCCAGCTCCACTATTCAACAAATCCAGCTCATTCAGAACTCTGCTGCCCGCATATTTACCCGAACCAAACTCCATACCCACATCTCACCAGTTCTGGCCAGGCTCCACTGGGTCCCCATCACCAAACGGATAGACTTCAAGATTCTCACACTTGTGTTCATATCCATTCACTTTATGGCACCTCCCTACCTCCCCGACCTCGTCACTCCCCAATCCACCAACGCTCCGCCAACTGACTACTCCACTGGCACTGGCCTCCTGTTTGTCCTTCACGCCCTCTGCTCTACCATTGGCATTGCACTTTCAGCCACTACACTCTGAAGCTCTGGAATACTCTCCCTCAATCCCTCCGCCTTGTCCTCTCCCCTTTTTCAAGTTCCGCCTGAAAACCTTCCTTTTCGACCGTGCTTACGGTTACCTCCTCCCACCCACCCCCCAACTTGGAGTGAGGCTCCAACATTGGTAAGTGCTCTGAGATACTATCCCGCGTGGAGATGCTATATAAATACAAGTTGTTGTTCTGTTTCTCAGGATGTTGGTAGGGCAGGAATGGAGGATGTTCAATTTAGAAAAGCCAATTCAACTCCTCCAGATGAAACTGAAATGAAGCATTAAAACAATATAGAAGGGAAAAGAGCATCCACAGCAATGGGACCTGTCATAATTCTACCTCAATAAATGAGGAATGTTCAGTTGAAAGTTTAAGATTCTGTGGTGCTATTCGAAAATTAAAACAAGTTTTTCCCAGTATCCTGGCCAGCAAACCTCCCGATAATAAAAAAAAAATTAAAAAAAATTGGTCATTCAATTCATGGTTGTTTGTGGGGCATTGTTGTGTGCAAAATTGGTTGCTGCATTGACCTACACATATAGTCACTGCACTTTACACTGTACTGTTAAGTGTTTTGAGATATTTTGATGTGGCAATATATCAAATGCAAGGATTATTATTATAATATTGCAAGTGGTTTATTGCCTGATTTTTTTTTATGGAGAAACTACTAAGGCTGAGGATCACAGTGCAAGGCACGACCAAGCTGAAGTGAATCAATGGATCATGTGGAGCATAAACACCAGCATAGACGAGTTGAGTCGAACGGCCTGTTTCTGTGCGGTATAATTCTAATATATTAATGTATTCTAATACTGCTTTGGGATCTTTAATGTCCACTTGAATGGGCAGATGGGATCGTGAGTTATCTTTTACCTAAAAGACAGCACCTTTGACAATGGAACACACCCCCAGCACTGCATTTGAGTGTCACAAGGAGTGGCCCACGGGGCCATTAAGAAGTCACCTCCTGAACATTCGGACGAGTCTTGGTAAGTCCATGTTTGATCAATAATGTTTTTTCAGTTTTTTTCTTGCTTACATACTTCTTGATTTATAACATTGATTTTGTTGGCCGACCATAAAGGAGTCCGATGCCCCAAACGGCACCCTGATCCAACCCTGGGCCTGAGGCCCACCTGCCCGAGCCACGGGGAGCCATCGTGGGATTCGCCTCCGCGGCCATCGCTGACTCTCCTGCTCAACAGCCAACCTGAGCCCGGCTGCTGTGTGACATAACATCCGCCCGCCACCTTTGAATCTCTCAGCCTGGACTGACTGGGACTATAACATTGTTCCCTCTCCCCATGATGACTCTCACCAGTGGGCTAACCGTGCCTCACTGACCCCCCCCCATCCCCGCCACTTGCGTTTAGTCTCGGTGTGTGCGTTTTGGCTGCCGCCCTGACCTGAGCTGCTTCCCCGCAATGCTCTGCCCTCACTTACTCCCGCTCGGTCCTCCTCAACCACCGCCCTCTCCAACTCCTATCCCTGCTCGACCGTCCCACAGCCTCCCTCTGCTCCAGCCTGCGAATCCTCCGTTGGGCCCACCGTGGGAGTCGTCGCTGACTGTCCAACAGCAGCCAC